CAAAAACTTCAAATGACTTAAGACATAGTATTATCGGTCATGCCGAAATAAGAAAGTAGCATAAAAATGATGTGATATAGTCATATAGTGTGTATCTGTGTGCTGCTTAAAAGTTATTCCCTCCATTTTAAATTGTATGTCGCTCTGGATTTTCTAGACATAACTTTTATCATGCACCTAGATATCTATGATAAAAACTATGTATCTACAAAAGGTAGAAGGATTGGATGGAGCAACTATTAGCTAGGTCCTGAGTCATTGGTAAGGCTATTAGTTGCCAATATCAGGAATTTAAAAGAGCATTGGCTAATATTTAGAAAATACTCTCTTTGTCTAAATAAATTTAAATATTAAACAAATGTATATAAATGAACAAAATTATTTATATGATATATGAAAAGTAAACATAGTTCAATATATTTTGAATATACTTTTATAGGTTTATTCTTTGATGTAGATGCTAATGTTTTTTCTATAATGATAAAGTTATGATAATTTAACTTATGACAAACTAAAAACATATGTATAGTATTTTCTAAAGAATGGAGTAGGGTTAAGGCTCAAGCGCCCAAGAGATCGGGATAGGCCTAACTAGTCCATGACGCGCGTCTTCGCGCGCGCCGGCAAATTATCTGGTTAAGGCGCAGGGAAAAAATATTTTTAATCTTTGCATGGAAACAATCTTATGAGTTTAATGTAGAGGACTGTTGGTCCAAACTGACAGGTTGGGCTGATGAACATACCATGATGGATGATTTCAGCTCCAGCGCTGCAAGTACAAACACTGAAAACTAGTAGGAGGCAGTTCCTGTGCTTTTAATTTAGACTATGTAAACAACCAACCAACATAAATATTAGAGGAGAAAATTTACTAATTTAGACTGTCTTAGATTATTATATATAGAACCTGCAGTAGCAGACTCTTAGAAGAAGCATATGAAGCTAGGCAAAAAGGCATGGGAATTACAGTGTAGCAAAGGAATGGCATACTAAGCAATAGCTAGAATAAACCCCATCAAATTTGCATTAGTTTAAAAAAAGCAAGCATGAATGTGAAGCCCATAAAGAAAGGCAAGATTGAGAATCAATAAAACCACGAAAGATGTACTTCATTATGTGTGGTATACATGACATCTTAGATGTCCAAATTTGTTAAAAAACTAAAACGATAGATGTGTCGGTTAGCTGACCTCTATCTAATGGTATATACATCAACTTAAAAGCTCTATCTGGTGGTTGCTTGTACCAATTAGCTGATCCCCAAAACCAAAAAGCCAAGCTGCTGGGAAAGGTTGGCAAATCAAATATACATGAGCACCTTAAGACCCATACCTTTTGTTCCGTCAATTTATCAATTTAACTTCTGGTGTGGCTGAAATATGCTTCAAACTGACAATTCTGACCTGAATATACAAGCACAAGATAGCGATCAGTTCATGTAACAACGGTTACCTCACATATATGATTGTAGTAATGTGATAGTGATATGGTAGCAGTGTAAAAAAAGGTACATATCAGATTGAAGGTTGACTAAGAATGAACGACAAGGACATCTAACATGTACCAAATAAACATGTTCACCCATAGTAATTAGGAAGGGGCGTTCTAATAGATTGAAGGGTGATATGAACTCTATAAATAGCATAGTTAGATCTGAAAAGAACCTGCGTGTACCAGAGAAAGCAACAACAATTGGCAAATGGGAAACCTACCTGCATACGATGAATCACTGAATATGTACGGAAAACAGTCTCACATGGAATTAAAGCATCACAGCCAAATCTAATCACAGGAACTCTTATTGCTGTTCCTATGCGGATAGGGGGAAAAATAGGAAATTAAAGGGCCATGTGGAGGACGAGAAACCGTGACCAGAGCGTAGGTTAATAGCTGGATTAGAACTAATCAACAAAGGAAAGATGTAAAGGAAAAGAGAACTAATCAATGATGAAAGGTAGAAGCACAATCAAGGCGCGATGTTTATGTGAATAACCGTAAAAATGTGAATCCAGGGAATAATTTTACAGCCATAGATTGAGGTTGTAACACAGAGAAAAAAAACTGAGAAAAGTAGAAGAGGCTGTAACACAGAGAACAGAAAACTGAGAAAAGTAGAAGCACAATCAAGGCTGCAGTATAGAGCAAAAAAAATACAGATAAGAGCAGTAGCACAATCTACTTACCTTAAGAAAGCAAAAGGAAGAAATCATGTGTATTAGCAGAACTATTATAAAAAAAACCCAACACACTGATTAGTCCCTCGGAAAGCAACCAACAGTTACACAGCTGCGAAAGACATGAACCTGAGAAAATATTTATCTGTAACAAACTATGATAGAGGTTGTTTTAAAAGGAAATTGGTTGTCCATAGCAACAACATATGTGCAAGATTGTCAAGATAGGCTCCGCACAATCAGCAGAATGACAAAGAGACCAAGAAATTATGGCTGTGCTTGTCTTCAACCTGGACGTAGGAAGGCATAGATGTTAATTTTGTTTTCTACTGAAGTATAAGCGTCGGGCAGTCATAGAGCTGGCACAACAGAAAATTATGGATGTAAACATATACACGCATCAAGCAGCGCCGTTGAACGACAGAGGAAACCTAAGAAGACAAGAATAGAAATATATTGTAAATGTAACACAAAAATCTGAAAGCTAATGCCGCAGCGCTACCAAACCCAATCTAATTAGCAAAAGAGCAGATGCCAGCGGAGAAATAAGCTACAAATGACAAATTAAAATATGAAAACAAACTAATCAGCACCTAGTAGCACCCTCAAATGCCGCAAACAGGAAATCTAAGAAGAGAAGCATACAAATACACTGTAAATGGGAAAACAAAAAAAATGAAATTAAGCTAATTAAGCAGCACCTACTAAACCCGATCTAATTAGCGAAGAGCAGAGGCATACGCCAGCGGACAAATGCGCTATAAATCACAAACCGAAAAATCTGAAAACAAATTAATTAGCACCTAGTAGCACGCTCCAACACTGGAAACAGGAAACCTAAGAAGACAACCACACAAATATACTGTAAACGAAAAACCAAAATATGGAAGGTAACCAAGCAGTACGTACCAAACAAAGTGTAATTAGCAAAGAGCACAGGCAACAGTATGGCAGCGGACGAACGCGCTATAAATCACAAACTAAACACTGGAAACCAACTAATTAGCACGTAGTAAACCAAAGTCAGCTAACAAAGAACAGAAGCCAATTTTGCAAACACTGAAATAAAATACTAAGCATGGGAAATAGCAATAAACTTGAAACATTCGCCTTCTTCCTTTTCTTTTGCGTGCCCTCTGTAAGCAAAACGTTGTAAACCAATCCTATTAGCAAAAAACAAAGCTAATCTTGCAAACAAACCTGGGAGATGCAACCCTAATGTAGGCCGTCGCCATCGGCACTCTATATATAAGGAAACTCGGCCTGCATCTTGTACATGAAAATTTTTGAATCGAACAAAACAAGGAACCGTACATTGTGAATCAGGCGGAAATGGCAAACCTCGACGAAAACATGGATCTGGCGTGACGGCGGCGGCAGGGTTCACTAGCGTCAACTGCAACGACGACGGAGGCCACCTGTCCGGGGGGCGGCTCGTGGCGATGGCGCCGCTGCGGAACCCGGCCGCGCTGGGGTGGGGCACCCACGCCGCTGCGCCGCGTCGACGGCCGTCCCGTTAGCGGTCCGTCCGTCTGCGTCGCCGCGCTTTTGTCTTGTTGAGGGCTCCCTAGGGTTTTGCGCGCACACGCCGGGCTGTCCGGAGGCACAGAGCGGAGAGCCACTACCGGAGAGGGCGCAACGCCGACGCAGGTGAAGGGGAGGGGGGGGTGGCGCCGGCGCTGGGAGAGGCGAGGCGGAGGAAGGAAGAGGGTGGAGCGACAGAGACGAGAGAGCGGCGGAGGAACGGTGGAGACGAGCGATGCCGTGGCCCGGAGAGAGATTGGACGGGATGGAGAGATTTTTTTTGTATGACCATTCACCTTCTGACGCGTGGGACCGTACAGTAGAGTAAAGGTGAGGTAAACCCGAACCACTAGATGCAAATCAGACGGCAATTATTAATTCCGCTAATGTGACCACCCTGAGGAGCGGCCGAGGCAAACTGGCTTAATATATAGAGATGTCTTCCCGTTGAAACAAGTACCAACTTAGTAAAAGCATGTCGGCGAAGATCATCTAAATTTGAACTAAAGATGATATTGCCAAGATCGACAAATTTTCACTTGTCACAATTAGCAGCTATCAAGTGTCACATCCTCTGGCTTCGTTATAACAAAAAAACCTTCCAATTAACGCGTGTTAACCACGCTTCTTCTAAGTTCTAGATCAGGCTAAGACAGAAGATTAATAAACAGTCGAAATAATATGCTGCCATGTAGCAATGCAATAAAGATCACGATGGGACGATCCATGGCTTTGATAGATCCGGCCACAAGCCCACAACATGCACGCACGCATAATGCTGGTAAACAAACAACCAAGCTGTGCGTGCCCACCACCTCCCAAGTGCTGGACAAGCCAGATCATCGCATCGCCGGTCGCGCCTGGCGATCCAGCCCATGGCACGTCCCCAATCAATCAGTGACCGTTTTTCTGTGTCGGGGTGGCCTCTCGCACACTGGCATATCGTGTCAGTCCAGCCTGGGCCAAGCGGCAGCACAGCACACAGCACAGCAGCATGATTACACAGAGAAGAGAAGAGAAGAGAGAGTGGGAGAGGGGGCCAAGGCAAGGGCAGTTCGGGAAATTCGCGGCGCGGCGTTAACGGGGGAGGGGAGGGCGTGGACGGCGGAACGGAGCGGTCGGGGCGTATAAATCCCGGTAAAATTCCCCCGACGCGAGGCCTCAAATCGCTCCCTGCCTCCGGTCACCGGTCGCCTCCCCTCCCTTCCACTCCCCTCCCTGCCTATTCCCTCCTCCGGCCACCCCGACCACCGTTCGTTCGCTCGCTCGCTCCCCGCGCGAAGAGACAAGCCCGCGGAGACCATGGCGGACCAGCTCACCGACGACCAGATCGCCGAGTTCAAGGAGGCCTTCAGCCTCTTCGACAAGGACGGCGACGGTAAGCTATTACGCCTCCCTTCGATGCCTCCAGCATCTCCTTCCTCCGTTCCTTAGCTGTAGTTATTACTGCCTGTATCTATCATGTTGTAGGCTCTCTTAGTTGTAGCTGCCCGAATACCTTGACTGTTCTTCACCTCACGTTAGAAACCCAGGGATCCCAGTTCCGCATACCTGTTCGTGGCCGCTGTGGGTGCGAGTCCAAAATTTAGGCCGCATAGAGCATCGGGCAGCGAGATTGTACCAAGCGGTGAAACTTTAGAGATGGTGTGATGCGGCGGCACGTCCCCGCTGCACGGCGGCTCGTGGGTGGGGAGATCTCGTGTGATTGAGTCTGCGAAAAAGCGCCGCTGCGATCTAGATCGACGTGGTTGCTCGTGGCCTCGTCTCCGATCCAGATGTGGTGAAGCAGTTAGGCTGAGATCCGGCCCCTCGCTGGTCCATGTGGACCTGAGTCAGGATGGGGTCGTAATTTATAAGCAGTAGGTAGGCTTCAATCCAGATCGTTCGGTTATGTCGGGGTTTGTTTTGTCATGGCAGGCAGGAGGGGACACATGAGACTTCTGTATGGTTTGAATTGACACTGCAGCACCTTTGACTGGCATTATGTGCTCTTGTATCTATGAGCTGGAAATTGTTACAGGGCAGAATTAACCGTGGGAGAATTTTTTTCGTCTGGTTAATAGTGTAGGTTGGGGCAAGTATTTTCAAGGATCTGATAGCAGCGGAGAAAAAAAATATTCAGATTTTGTATAGACCTGACAGTGGCACCGGGCCTGCTCAGATTTTGATTGATGTTCTGGGTTCATGATTATAACTCCATGGTTTGGGAACATGAGTGTAGCCAGCGGGGTAGTAAAGCGTGGTTGCCAGCTGCTGCTGGTCATCATGTTGCAGGGGAGTGCAGCTTGGAGATCCTGGCTGCTTCTGTGGTGCTGCCCTGTGATGCCTGGCTGCCTTTGCACTGTCCAGGTTGCCTATGGCGCCGGCCCAAGTTAATGATTGACCTGGGGTGAAGCCAGAGTTCGTAGCTTTTCTTAATCAACATTGGTTGAGGTTTCACCCATATCCACACGCAATGCTCAGGGGAGGCTTTCCCAAGTGGTTTGACTTGGCGATGATTAATTGTTTATAATATCGCCATGTTCTTGATGTGATGATTGTGATCTTGTATTTTAGATTGTATGCATGGTGCTCAGTTTTTAGGTATGAAGTACGACTGCAGTGTTTCCATTTAGTAAGGATTGGTTTCTAATATCAAGACAATCCTGCTTAGCTTACTGGATGGCTAATGATAGGCATAGGAAGGTACCACAACCCAAATTATCTCGGGAGTTAAAGTTACCAAGTTTTAGTACTAAAATTTTGATACATCCCTGGTTATACTTTGGTGGTACCTCCCTAGTAGTAGCTTAAAGGCTCTTAGTCACATACTCGGGATCATCTCTTACCTTTCTGACCATCAACCTTCTAAACCATTTGCTACATCTATGCACCTCAATTTTGAATTAGTGTTGTCCTTTTTGAACCAGATGTTTATCACTTCTGGCATTCTTGCTTAATGTCTAGTTTACTTGTGCTATTGCTTTGAAAAACTGTGGTAACTTCTCAGGTGGTTAATCATTTGACTTCTCATTGCTATGTTAATGTTATATATAAATTGACATGAAATTGCTCTCTGCTGTGCACTGGACAGGTTGCATCACAACCAAGGAGCTCGGAACTGTCATGCGTTCACTGGGTCAGAACCCAACCGAGGCTGAGCTCCAGGACATGATCAACGAGGTCGATGCCGATGGCAATGGAACCATCGACTTCCCTGAGTTCCTCAACCTCATGGCCCGCAAGATGAAGGACACCGACTCCGAGGAGGAGCTCAAGGAGGCGTTCAGGGTGTTCGACAAAGACCAGAACGGCTTCATCTCTGCCGCGGAGCTCCGCCACGTGATGACCAACCTTGGCGAGAAGCTGACCGACGAGGAGGTCGATGAGATGATCCGTGAAGCCGACGTCGACGGTGATGGCCAGATCAACTACGAGGAATTCGTCAAGGTCATGATGGCCAAGTGAGTATAAGCCTGCGGTAATGGTATACTACCCCGCCGGAAGGAGGAAACCGTGCATTGCATATTAGTAAGGCAATGCAGCTCTTGTTTCCTTCGTCTTGCCATGAAGAAACCGTACTAGCTGTAGCTGCTGAAACAATTGAGTCCCTCTGCTGCCACCCTTATCTCCGTTGTGTCGTTGAACCTCCTTGCCCCCGCCCTGTGTGAATCTGTACGGCTTTGCGTGTTCTGGACACTGATTGCAGTTGAATCCAGTTTGTAGTTCTATTTGTTCATCGAATCTGCCCGACTCCTTTGGTACCATGAACAGGAAGTTGCTTTCCGTTTATCCTGTGGTCGTGCAGGCAGTTGCTTTCCGTTTATCCTGTGGTTGTGCTGTCAGAATGGTGCCTGCTCTGCAAAGAAATGGCATGTTGTTGAATGTTGAAGGACCATTCAGAGATACGGATGGATGGTCGCCTGTGTGGCGTCTGACGATCCCAGACTTGTTTTCTGGATGGCTCATGCGGCCTTCGTTACAGAACTGCAATTGCCACTGATGAGTCTGGCCGCACCAGCCCAGACCCCAGATCCGTCATCATGGATTGGGCTCGCAGAGAGGGAGAAGACGAGCAGCTGCGGACGCTGGGCAGCTCACCGGAGATCCGTCCGCCCCCCTAGTCCGAGTGCGATCGAGTGACTCGAGCCGTCTGCGGTCTGCCGCGTGCTGGAACCCCATTCATCATCCAGTGGCAGCACGTCGCCTGGAGGCCTGGAGGCCGCGGCGGCCCGCCGGCCGGGAGGCGGGACCTCGTGGATTGTGCACGTAACGGGGCCCGTCGCCGACTGGGATTTCTCTGCACATGGCTGCGGCATGCTTCAAGTCTTTCAGCTCTGGCTTCAGATCGAGGTAGCTACTCTCGAAAACTCGCCATTCCATTGTTCAAACTACTGCAGATTTTCAGTATTGCCTTTGGTAACCGCCATTTCTCCGCGCAGTGGCGGAACTAAAATTTTGTAGTTGGATACTTGCATATTCCTAAACTTTTTTCACGTGTCACCGACTAGCTGAGTGTAGTAGATAAATAGTACAGAGATAAGAGTGACTAACCAACATCAGAAGTCGACGTTAGACTCTTTTTAATGGATTCATCTATTTAGCTCACTGATTTGCTAGATTAATTAAGAAAGCTAAACAATTTTGTCTCATTTAAGTTATACATATGTACTATATACCAACTCCACTTACAAAAAGTATTCCCGGCTAGGTCGGGTCGGCCCCTGCTCCATCATAAACAATTTTTTTTTAAGATCTAGTAATCATTTCAGCAGTACTAAAGCATCTGGTCCAGTGGACATTCCCAAAATTCGCTGTACCACAGGACACCACGGAACCAGCCTGAATCCGCCCCTGCTATCACCCAACATCATGCACATAGCACAAAGAGGACAAAGGATAAAGTGTGTTCACCTCATACATCTAGAAGTAATGTTTATTCTGAAGTAACACATCATATCATAGAACAAATTGAAGGGGGCTAAGCTTGAAGCCATGAACTAACAACTGGTACTCCCTTACACCATCTGATGTATCTCAATACCTCATTACTACACACTACTACAGCCTTGATTGTGGTTTCCATTCCATCCAACTCCCTGACCGTAAAATAAACTAAACAACACGCCAATAAGCTCATCCACAACAGCCTTCAAGACGGTTGTTTCATCGGGCTTACTCGCCATCAACAAATGAACCAAAGAACTTGCTTGCAAAACCGACTCTGCAATGGACACCGATCATCCGAAAGAGCAGCTATGTACAAGGAAAGCCAGCGCCGTCCTGTGAAAGTTCAAAGGACGCTTCATGCTGCTGTGCTGTTGCCGTCCACCTCGCCATCGCACTTCCACACAACATCCTTCAGTTGGGTTGACAGACTTCTGTAGAACTGTTTTACAGTACGGTTAATTTGGGCATTAGTACAATGTGTCGATGTTAAAGCATACAAAGAACCGTCATGTGGCAGAATTAATAGAGACTGTACCTTTTGGAATTCCAGAGTATCCCCCTTTGCCTTCTTGAGCTCAACTACATGTAGGGATGGGGCTATTTGAAAAACCTAAGAGTTGCCATGCACAAACAAAAAGGAATTGAGTTATTCTTCTTCGATGCTTCAGCAATCTAGATTTGTTAACTTGATGTTTTCAGCTACCTCAGTTGCAACATTTAGATTGCCTTTTCTACCTGCTTTCGGGTTCTCCATCCGCATCTGGAAAGAACAAACACAGCCTTATTAGGATCAGAAGTGTGGAAGATGGTAGTAAGAGTTCTATTTTCTAGATATTCATGCCAAATTTTACAACATAAGTAGAAACTAACAAGAGGAATATTGTACATAACAAAGTTCAGTAGGAAATACCTTGTATTTTTTCTTCTGAACATCAAAGCCAAGCGGCTTTGCAGCTTCTTCAATCTTTGTGATTATCTCTTTTGGGGGACACTGTGAGGTGAATCTTGTCTCTCTTTTATACTCCTGCTATTTTTAACCAGAAATAAGATCATTGTAGATTTGTACTTTCTACAGTATATTTCAAACAACAATAATTTAATAAAATTTGGAAACCTAAAATTGGCAAAGAAGACAGGAGAACTATGACTGACCTCCTTTGCTTCAAACAAATTCTCCAGATTAAGTGCCTGGTTTAGTGAAATCAGTTCAAATGCATTCATTGAGGTTGGCTGATCTTCAGTTTCCTCTTTCACATGCCGGTCCTGGTAAACAAATCAATAAAGCACAGTTACTCACTCAATTTCTACGACAGAAGGCTAAATATTTATTGGTCCATTTGACTCACTTCTGAATCTCCAAAAGCAGCATCCACGTCATCCAAGGTAGTTTGATATTTCTCGTCAAAAAGAGGAGGCTTGTACCCCTTTTTGAACCAAGGATCTTCCAGTATCTGAGAAATCGTGATCCTCTGGTAAACATCCAGAAACAATTAAAAGCCAGGTAAGTTGAGATTCAAGAAATACTTGTCGGCAGTTGAAACTGAAATATTGATGTCAAGACACATCAATATATGCTTATATTTCATAGACAAATAGTTGCCACTTGTTCATCATTCTTAGATTACATGTATGCTTATCGTATTCATGACCCATTTCAACAACTATGCTCAAAAGCTATATGATACTTACAGTTTTAGGATTGGGATCAAGAATTCTGGTAATCAGGTTCTTGGCTCCAGCCGAAAACCAAGAGGGGCAGCTAAACTGAGCTTCTGAAATCTGTGTTTGCAAAGGGAGTATTAAGAGATGATTGATAAACAACCACACAATAATGCTTTTTTTCTATTTTCTCTATTTTTCATCAATGCTACCTTCTTGTATAGGGCGATGATGTTGTCATCCTCGAAAGGTAAATATCCAGCAAGAAGAACAAAGAGGATTACTCCACAAGACCAGATATCTGCAGTTGCACCATCATAGCCTCCATCCTCGATCACCTAGAAAGATCCAATACAAATATTAGTTAGGTAACCTTGTATGCAATCAAAACACGATTATTCTATAACAAGCAAAGAAGAGAGAATTTACCTCAGGGGCAACATAATTGGGGGTTCCACATGTTGTATGAAGCAGACCATCAGCCTATAATAATATAAGATTAAATGAAGCCAACAAGAGAACATGATGCAACAACTACTGGGAGTTTATGAGAAGTAATTCCATCTTTACCTTCACTTGCTCGGTTAAAGCACTTAAACCAAAGTCAGAAACTTTGAGATTTCCATTACCATCAAGCAGCAAATTCTCTAGCTGCAAATGAATGTTAAGCATAAATATGTCACTTGTCTGCACTACTGAGCCCATAATTTATTATAATCACAAAAAGTAAATTAGGCTTCACCTTCAAGTCTCTGTGATACACTCCCCTACTGTGGCAGTAATCAACGGCATTAATCAGTTGCTGGAAGTATTTGCGTGCTTCGTCCTCCTTCAACCTTCCATTAGTAGCCTGGTTGTCATGTTTTTGCATAAGAGCAGATTGAATTAATCAAAAACCAGTACATGATCATGTAATTCGTGTTACTAGTCTCATGCGACAAAGTGTTTCAAACAGATGATATAGTTTCACTTACAATGATTTCAAAGAGCTCTCCACCTGTAACATATTCCAGAACGATGAAAATTTTTGCTTTACTTCCCATCACCTGATGTAGAAAACAAAATTTCAGCCAAATAGTCTCAGAGCATAGGCATGAACAAAATATACATCATGAAGTGTGTATAGTATTTTTTGGATCTTACCTCAAACAGTCGAACAACATTAGGATGCCTTACTAATTTCATGGTACAAATTTCACGCTTGATCTGCATTGAATTTAGGATGGTATCAGCATGAAATATCAAGTATGCAGTACCAATCTGTTTAAAAGACGCATACAGCAAAAGGCACTCCTGAGGAGTATATTAGACAATACATGTATGCTTGCATCATGATTTTTTGGGGGTAAATGAGATTATTTTTTTGAGAACATTATGGTTATACTTTAGAAGTAAAAGGAATAGTGAAGTCAACTAAAGTGTAACTGAGGAAATGGATGTATAATAGGGCACTGATGAAAACATATACTGAAGTGTGCAAGCTGAAGCCGACTGGAAACAGTCAGGAATACTGAAGTATTCAATTTGCATAAAGTTCAGACTGTGACTGGAAACAGCACAAGGCACCAGGAGAACATACTGAGTTGGTAGTATGACTTGAACTGGAAGACCACCATGTGGATATATCTCGATGTCATGCAGATATGTAGGCATAGAATCATTTCTTAATTGGAGTTACATCTTCCTATGCTCCCATGCTGACACGGCAACATCCAAGGAAGAAAATTCATTCTCCACGTTGTTCCTTTTGATAGAAAGATGTAAGAGATGGCAGTGAATTTTGACAAAAGGAAACCACATGGTCCATCTATTGACTGTTAGGAATGATGATATGATTGGCTGTATGGCAAACTGAACTTCTTACCATCTTCCAAAGTCATACACGGCTTAGATAGGGAGCATAAGACTTTTAACCTCAATATTTCTAATTAACTGAAGTTTGATCCATGCTTCATGATATTGACAGAAAATGGATAACAAGAAACTAGCTAGTGCATGGTCTCAGAAAGGAATTGACGGATACTGACCTGTTCAACCAATCTGTGCTTCTGAACTTTCTCCTTGTCAAGGATTTTGATAGCAACAGGATCCTGGTTTTCAGTGTTCCTAGCAAACCGGACCTTTGCGAAGGTTCCTTCCCCAATGGTGCGTCCGAGCTCATACTTCCCAACACGGCGCTTCACCTTTGGTGACAATGCAGCCCTCCTAGCCCGATACATCTTCCAACAAATGAAGGTTACTATGAACCTTCAACCTACTCTTCAAACACCTGCAATTGTTCAGTGAACCACCCGTTGCATTAGTTGTAAAATTACCCATTCAAATTCACTAAGCTGTGTTTACCCTAAAAAAAGTTCATTAAGCTGTGGTAAGAAAAAGAAAAAGAAAACACAGGAGAAGAGAGGGAAACGAGATGATATGTGGATGCACTTATATTATCTGGATACACAGGAGTTTTTCCCTTTTCAAAAACCGAAAAAAGGACAGGAGTTTCGTTTGACTGAATCTGATGGAAATTGTTGGGGGAAAAGTGAGAAAGGAAAACTAGACTTTACCCAACAGTATGCCATGGATACTCACAACACCTTTTGCAGATGAGGATAGAGCAGAGCATTAGCGCTCAACCGATTTCAAAAAGAAATGAACAGAGGATTAAAAAATACGGAAAGATTAAATGGCAGGCGGGCCATTGATACAAATAAATTCAGGAAGTCAGAACTCAAACATCTAGGGCGGAGGGTCCCTCTTGATAAAATAAAAAATTTCGATCCGTAACATTTGAGTAAACAAGCAGGCAGCAAAAGGGACAAGGGAAAAAGGCGCAAACTTATGTAAATCCTAGGTCTTTTTTACCATCTCGCAAACACTAGCACACGAGATCAAAATGATAAAAAATGACCGGACAGCTCCAAAAATGATTCAATCCAATTTGACCAATATAAAAGGTACTCCTAGGTAAGACATGCGCCCACAACGCGAAGGCACAGGGCCGCACAAAAGAAGCCTACAGATGGTTCAGACTTTTGCAGGCAAAGCATTCATATCACAGCTGAAAAGCATAGAGGCAGCATGACCATGTATACAACAAATACAAGCCACATATGAAACAACCACCACTTGCTGACTAATTGATACGGATCAATCATAACCAAGACCGAAAATTCAGCCCAAAAAGGCGCTTTACAGATGTGCGTATGTATTTCTGAAAGAAACCAAGGAGAAAGAGTAAAAGGAGAGCAGCAGCTGGCGTGGAGGGAAAGGTCACAGATGAGCTGGAAATGGTAACCCCGCCAAAGGGAAATGCACATCTTTCACCGGACAACCGAAACGAAAATGCCACAACAAGCGACCTTGCAGCTCGAAGAAAGTAACGCCTACTCTTTGCCCCCGAAACCCATGGTCTCCGAATTGCATCTCAAAAGACACTAATCGAAATGCAAAATTCATGCAGCGCACAGCCACAGCCACAGCCACACAAGAACCAGATTCGGGGCTGAGGCACTGAAAGCTCACCTTCCAGCGCTGAGCGCAGGCTGATCGGCAGTTGCAAGGAGCTCCGAGGCTCCGAGCTCGCAAGATGTCAAGGAGAAGCGAGTACTAAGGTTGATTGGAATGGAGGAGGATGTGCTGGGGGAGAAACAGAGGGTGGGGTGGCGCTATAAAGCGGTGGGGCGAGGTGTCATGCGCTGTGGCTTGTGGCAAACCGCCCAGGAAAAGGACCGGGGGGGTCACCACCAAAAGTTTGTTTGATTGCAATTGCATTGCATTGGCTTTTCAGGTCCCAAGGGCTGCATGGCCATCAGGCCATGGCTGTGGACCTGTGGTGTCCTGCCCTGTACCTTTTTCCCGGTCTCAAAAAAATTAGATATACAAGAAAGAAAATCTTACAGCGTTGGCAAGAGCTAACAAGACACAGGGTGGCGATGGCAGTGAGAGGGAACTTATATGGGATCAAAATCTACAGATAGGAAATTGCTAGCGTGTTTGGCTTTGTGCTCTGCTTTCTCCAACATGCACACCACATACATACATATATAATATAATATAATACTTAATATAATAACGAGAGGTGCGGATGCGTTGAGGTCGTCTTCCCCCATTCACAGCCATTGCTCCTATATGACAATTTGTAAATAAAATTTCATGGAACAAAACACACAAATTAGACCGTCAGGGGAGACTCCAATCTTAAGTGGGTGCAACGCTTTGAACCAGGGTCGGACGGGAGTTCCAACGACCATCTTAGGAAGCGACACAAGCATTCTTTAGTTGAAGTATAAAACCTAACTTCCCTTCAACCAAATATTTTCACTTGTTCCTCTCAAAAAAAAAAATCTTCACTTGCTACCAAGTTGTTCAGTCAAACCAAATGTAGGTGGAGTACTGAAATTTCATACTATGTTATAGCAGAAGAGGAGCGGCTGAAATGTTAATGATCATACCCACCTGGTTAGCGTGGTGACACTACTATATATATTCAAGTTAGCCGCGCTGTTCACGTGTACCGATTAAAAATTCGTGAACGAGCTCTTGTCATGGGAGCATGGGACTCGATTTTATTTCTGTGAAAGCAAAGCAGGCCAACAAAAATGAGCGAATGGCAGTACCAAACAGCAAAATACTGCCAATAAATCCGCTGGACCCTCCTAGCTTGGTTGGGTTGTTGGCTGCAGTGCTGCACCCTGCACAGAGGGAGCAATGCAGCAATCACACAACCACCAAAAATCCAGGATTTTTTTCTTTCTGCAAATGCTCAGAATGATTACTGCTGCTGTGTGTTGCCCCGGTCGATTTTTGGGGTGTAGGCCAATGGATTAGCTACTTTGATTGGACGGAAAGAAGTTCGACTTCTTCTGGGAAAGATTGCGACGCCAACTGGATTGATGGGACCCAAGCGAGCGTCGATGCTCCTCTTGGATCGACGGCAGATATCCAAGGAGTGTCTGGTGAATAGCAGCAAGTCAGTGCTAACTAACATTCCAACTCTGGACTAATCGAGATCTAAAGAATCTAAAATAACAAGAAGATATTAATTTGTACTCTCACCGTCCGGTAATATAAGGGATCCAGAGTTTAAATTTGTACCAAAATATAAGGCATTCTAGGTCATTAACCTCCTCTCACCTCTATGATTTTTGACATTGAGATTACTTTTAAACTTAGATTCACCGAAAACAACCAACATTAATTAAGAAAACTCCACCCATTCTAGAGGGGCAATGTGGTCTTTTGCCAAACTCCTTATCTGAAATCACTTTGAATCTCTCTTATATTACACGACAGAGGGAGTATGGTTTATGGAGGAAATTGTTTATTGAGCTTCGTGAGTGAATTATTATATATAAGTACAATGTTTGTATTAGGGATAAATAGCCTTCCTTATAGATAAGTCAAGTCAGCATTAGAAATGATCATAATCTATCACATTTGAAGAATCCCAACTATCGTGGTTCGTAACCACCGCTAGTGTTTAAGTGATCGATATGTAGAACTTTGGTGGTTAACAGTCAAGATACAAAAAAAAAAGGTTTTATCCTGGTTCAAGCACTAAGCCCTACGTCTAGTAGAGAGATTTCATGTTAGAGTGTTCAAGAGTTTGCAATAGAGGGTAGGAGAGTGCAGAGCTAGTTCTCAAATGGTGGGTCTACTGCCCTTTGATCGATCGCCCATAAGGCGCTTTTTACCCCTGCCTTACATCTCTAGGGAGCAAAAGGAGTACAACAAACGGTTCTCGGTTCTTTCTTGGCCGGTAACGAAGATGGCTCCCTCCTCCACCAAAGGTCGGCCCTGGTCTTCAAGTCGTCAAGGCATCTCCTTACCCCCCTCCAAAGTGGCCAACATCCCTTGCCAGACAACGCTAGTCTCAGCTTTTACAGGCGTCTAGGGCAGATGAGCTGGCCGGTGGATGCATTGATCCACTCGTCCTCAATTCGCCTGCCCCTTAGCTCTGTCGCACTATGGCTCAGAAATCTACAAAGGATGATGCCATGGTCCCGCGCACTTGGCTCCCCTGAAGGTGGTGAGACCAACGCGGGCGTTCTTTGTTGTGTTTTCTCATGCCCTGGGCATGACCCTTGCCAGAGTAGGCAAGCGGCACACTGCTAGGATAGGGGGACAAATGCTTAGCCTATTGTGAAGGAGGTGGCTGCCCCGCAGCATGCGTTTGCCTGCCGGGAGTTTAGAAGTGTCCCTTAGGTCTGTTGCCCCGCCAAATCCTCCCATGAGATGATTTGAGTGAAGGACTCTGGTGTAACACCTCTGGTGTTATGAGCTCATTTAGCATCGCGATTTAGGCCTAAGAAAAATTTTTGAAACGGGTTTCTTGGATTTTTTATTTAAAGCATACTTGGTGTGATAAGTGAATCATATGTGACTCAGTTTTGTGGACTCGAGTCAACGCAAAGTTAAATTTCTTCGTGCGTAAAGATATTTAGGAATGTCGAACGACAATTCTAGCCAATAGATAGCGAACGGTTTGTTCTATTAGATTAAGCATGAAAAGTAACTTTTATAAATAAAATAAAATCCATTAATAAATAGAACGATATATGTATAGCTTTGAATCTAATTTAAATTCGAGCTTTGTTGAAACTAATCTCATGCTGGCTAGCTGCGTCGGGACGTGGTCTGCGTGCAGGGTCTTATCGCCGCTGTAGCTCGTACTGCGCTAGCCACGCATTGCATTGCTCCGTCCATCGTCTTGCTACTGTGGCTGGCCGAGGCCTGTGGTACTATTGTCGTCCTGGCCGCTTGAATACGGTGGTGCGTTTCCCCGCTCAGAATCAATCATCGGAGTTATTCGCGTTGCGCCGCGTTGTCGAGTCCCATCGCCGTGCCGCTGCTCCCTCTCTCTCGTGTCCTTTCTCTGAGAGCGCCTTAAAGAAAGTTGGCCAGGCTACTGCTGCCGTGTACTGCTTTGCTTGCTTTTTCTCCCTCACTGTCAGTTTCGTCGCTTCAACCTGCAGCAATCTCTGCTCGTCCTTGCCTGCCTCTGCTGTCTGCCATGGCTGACGAGCAAAACTCCAAGTCACGATGCACCAAGACAAGGTCAGGCCGGGTCACCTTCGTGTCGCTGCTGTTGCTCCCGCTCCGCAGTGCTGCCCTTCCTTTTTCTTCCCCGCGTAGCGCTCCCGGGTCTGCAGCGTTGCCCCTCCTCTTCCTCCCTCGCGAGCGCGTGGCTCCACCCCGCTCCCTCGCCGCTGCGCTGCTCCTCCTGTGC